CTTCGAGGGGCTCTATAATTTTGAAATGCATTTAGACCTGGCATCCATCAGCACGGGCTACCATCACAAAATACCACAGGCTCTGGGGCTTAAACGTAGAAAGTTATCTCTCATAGCTCTGGAGGCTGGAAGTCAGAGGTCAGGATGCCGGCACAGTCACATTGGGTGAGGGCTCCCTGCTTGGCTTGCAGACGGCCGCCCTCACTGTGCCCTAACTCTGCCTTTCTGTGCGTGCGCTGAGAGAGAAAAAGAGAAAGAGAGAGATGCCTCTTCCTCTTCTTATAAAGGTCACCAATCCTACTCTCATGGCCTCTTTTAACCTTAATTACTTCCTAAAGGTCCCGTCTCCTAACAGAGTCATATGGGGAGTTAGGGCTTTAACGTATGAATTCAGGGGGGACACAGTTCAGTCCATCGCAGACCTCAAGTGTTTGTAGCATATGCAGATAGAGCTAAGTGGACAGCGGGTAGAGAGAAAACTGTATCTATATCCGATTATCTGTATAAGACATAGAGACATAGATACGTATGCATTCACCTACAGAAACGTATATACTCATAAATTGCAGGCAGGGATAAGGGCCTTGAAGAAAAATAAAGCATGATAAGGAAACAGGGAATATCAGTGGTGGGGTGCTGTTTTAAAAGATGATCGGGAGAGATCGCTAATGCAGTTGGAGACATAAGTAACATAAACTGAAGCATTCAGCCACTGGAATTCGATTCTTTGGATCAAGAGTCCACAGACTTTTCTGTAAAGGGAGAGGTAGGAAATATTTTTGGCTTTTGTGGGCTGTATGATCTTGGTCTCCATTACAACTACCCTGCTCTGTTGCTGTATCACAAAAGCCTCCACAGGCAATATAGAAACAAATGCGTATGGCCATGTGCCAATAAAACTTTATTTATGAACACTGAAATTTGAACTTCATGTACCTTGTATGTGTCATGAAACATTACTCTTTTTTTTTTATATTTTTATTCAACAGGCTAAAAATGGGAAAACCATTCTTAGCTCATGGGCTGTATAAAAATGTGCAGGGGACCAGGTTTGGCCCCCGGGCTGCAGTTTGCAAACCTCTGCACGCAACCATATGAGGCTTCTCCCAGTTGTGGGATGAGAGTGGGGGACCACTGTAGGGCCAAGAACACAGGTCGCTGGCACACAACAGGTGTTCGATACGTATTTATTTTTTTGTTGTTGTTGTTCTTAAGTAGGCTTCATGCCCAGCGTGGAGCCCAATGTGGGGCTTGAACCCATAACCCTGAGATCAAGACCTGAGCTGAGCCAAAGAGTCTGATGCTCAACCGACTGAGCCACCCAGGCACCCCTCGATACGTATATTTTTTTAATTTTTTAAATGTTTATTTATTTTTTAGGAGACAGAGACAGAGCATGACTGGGGGGAGGGACAGAGAGAGAAGGAGACACAGAGTCTGAAGCAGGTTCCAGACTCCGAGCTGTCAGCACAGAGCCCGACGCGGGGCTCGAACTCACAGGCTGCGAGATCATGACCTGAGCCGAAGTCGGATGCTTAACCGACTGAGCCACCCAGGCGCCCCCCTCATTATGTACTTTTTGGAGAAGAGGGAGGAGGGAGGGGGCAGAACGAAACAGGGTGCAGTCAGTTAAGTGTTCAGAGCCTCCTGTCTGTTTTTAGGGGCAAGCATCTGGGCACCCCCCCCCCCAGAGCCCACCAAGACCTAGCCCGTGTCTCCTGCCACCTGAAAACTTCCACTGACTACCCCAGACACGAATCTAGAAGAGGACACGCGTAGCCACGGCCCAAAGCCTGCGTGTGCCCTGTCCCCAGCTTAATAACTCACAAGTGCCACTAATGTGCATTTTTAGCGAGAACCTTTCAGTCCCCACTCAGAAAAGTCATTTGCATCCCCCATGCAGGGCCCCTGACTGCTATATTAATCTCCCCATTTGTCCCCTCCTGAGTCATCTAATATGACTGCTGGCTAATTAAAACATCAGCGCCCCAAGTACAGCAGCCCCGCCAGAGGCCTCCTAATGCTTGCTTTCAGGGGTGCCGTTCCTCGCAGCCCAGGGTGGAGCGGGGCAAGGCCCACGCCCGGGGCCCCCAGGTTCTGGGCTCGAAATGACCACCCCTCGCACATCTGGAGCCTCCACAGATGGCCTTTTTCATTATGCCTGTTACCTCGCTACTTCCACACCCTGCCGATGAGGGCTGCTCGCTGTCCCCCCCCCCCACCAGCCGCACCCCACGCCTCTTCCTCCCGCCTCACTGTGCTCCCCACCGTCTGCCCTCGCACCCCCTCTCTGGGTCCTAGGCCTGACCCCAATGCCACCAAGGCGCCTCTTATCCCCCGTCTGGGATTCCAGCTACTCCTCAGCCTCTGGAACATCCTTAGGGATGGTCAAGAGAGTTTGTAACCTGGCTGAGTGATGCCCAGTATTTAGGGAGAGTGGCCGGGGTGCTCCATAACTTGGAGCTGAGCAAGCAGAAAATGTGAACGGGAGTGAAGGGAAGAAGGATCTTCTCCTGCCCCCGGGGTGGCAGGACTGTAGTGATACTTGCGGCAATGACCCCAATGACCGCACTGGCAGGTGCCCTAAGGGTAGCAGATTCTCATGCCAGCAGCAAGAAGTGATGGCTGACACTCAGGAGGCGATTGCATTCATCCAGGTGACAGATGATGTTGGCCTGGCCAGGGGGCTCGCCAGTTCGATGGGAAGTGAGAGGAGGCGGTGGGTTCTAGAGCTGTGGAGAAGCTAAAATGGTGGGACCTGAGGAGGCACACGCTGCGGGGCATGAAGAGAATGATGTCCAGGACAGGCCCCAACTGTGGCTTGCACAGGTGGTTGGATGGTGATGCCCAGCACTGAGACAGGAATCGCTGGGGATGACCGGATCTGGCCACAGCAGGGAGGTGTGGAAGATGTGGAGTCATGGCACCTTCCATTTGTTCTCTGCTAACTCTTGCATGGTTCTGGAGAGGTCTTTAGCATGCTGTTCACCTACCCTCTGGGCCCCAGATTCCAACATGGCGGCACAGACGCTTTAGCACAGAGCTTCTCTATTCTGCTGGCCAGAAAGGTGGCTGTGGTATGCCTCTCACCTCAGGACCTTTGCGTAAGCTGTTCCTTCTGCCCACAAGACCTTGCTCTTCTCTCTCTGCCGGATCAATTCCTACTTGTCCTGCAGGCCTCTACTTAGAAGCCAAATGCTCTGGGTTAGGTGCCCCTTCTGTGGGCTTCCACAGTGCCCTGTACACAACCAACTTCTCACGTTAGGGCAGCCATTGCACCTGGTTTTAATGACTCGTAAACTGTCATCCGTCCCCTGACCCCCATCTTGCACAATGACCTCCATGAGGGCAGAGATCACATCTGTCTAGTTTGTCACTGTAGGCCTGGCCCTTGCTACCTTGCTTGGAACATAGGAGATACTCAATAAACACATGTTGAATGAATGAATGAATGAATGATGCATAATGGCCAAGAGGCAGGAGAGTCAGCAGTTCAGGACATGGTTTGAAAGACAGACTGCTAGGATTTGACTCCTGGTTCCAGTTTACTAACTTTGTGACCTTGGACGACTTAGTTAACCTCTCTGTGTGCCGCAGTTTCCTCATCTGTAAAATGGGCATGATAAGATTTTGCTTGGCACATAGTGAGTGCTTATTGAATGCCAGTTTCCAGTAGCAGTCCTTCAGTGTGCTCCGTGATTTCTTTCCCGGACTTCGTCCAGTTCATTGGAATTCACAGCTTCCTCACCATCCTGAGCCCCTCAAGCTGATGAGATGACGATTCGGCCTCCTTTCTGACTTCATCTCCTTGAACTAACCGTACTCACACACTCCAGCCACACTGGCCTCCTCACTGGCCCTTGGAACTTAACAAGCTCATCTGTACCTCAGGGCCTTTGCACTTGCCTTTCTCTCCTCCACTTAGTCATCAATATATACCCTTACAACCAACTGATATTCTATCATTTGGGTGTTGGTTTACTTATAATTTATCCCCGTTTCTCTGACAGTAATGTCCCAGAAGGGCGAGGGCACTCTCTGTCTTGCTCATTACAGTGTCCCCAGTGCCTAACAGTGTCTAGCCCATAATAGGTCCTCAATAAATACTAGTTGAGCGTGAGCATGCCCTGACACAAGGTCACTACCCAGTGCTCCGATCTTTGGTATGAATGACACTCCACATTGGCTTGTCTTCTCCCTTCTCTCACTCAGCTGTCATGTCAAGGTGTGCCTGCTGCCTCTCCCTGACAGCCGCTGACTGACTGATGCTTGTCTGGTGCAAAAGCAGGAAGACAGTTCCTCAGAAACACCCAAGACAGAATGTGATCCTTAGTAATGAGGTCTCAAGCGGATGGGCCACGATGGTCAGCCCAGGACTTATCCCCCACCACCTACTGGGCAATTTGTTTATAGAAGTGAAGACAAATGGGGGACTGAAGGTGCTCAAGACAGAGGAGCAGTCAGTGCAAAGGCCCTGAGGCAGGAACGCACTGGGCATTTTTGAGAGGCAGAAACCTGAAGTTTGGGGAAATATTCATGCTTCAAAACTATCCAATTAAATCTTTTCTGTTTCCCCAGTACTCGCGGAAATAGTGAGTTTGGGCTGTAGCAGGAAAGCCCGGAAATCCAAGTAACCTGACCGAGCTTCGGGTGTGATTCCTCAGGCCTGAAAGCCAGTACCGTTCAGAGAGGCTGATGGTGTCCCTTGCTCATTTGCTCATTCAACAAACATTCATTGAGTCCCTGGTGTATGCTAAGACCTGTGTTAGACACCAGAGAGACCACCTTTGAGTTCCTGACCCCTCTCCCCAGAACGGAGCCCAAAAGGCTTTTCCATGGTGCCTCCTTCTTCATAGGCAGAGGGACCAGGTTCCCAGCCACCTTGCACGTGTCACCCCGGGAGAATCGAACTCTGGCAGATTCCAGGAAGAATCCCAGAGGACAGTTTTCGAGTGCCCCCCGAGCCCCGTCTCATGTTGCACCTCCAATCTCTCCTCCAGCCCCCTGCCTCGGGAAAACAGTCTCCTACAAAGAACGGCAGCCCCTCCAAGTGCCCCCGCTTCCTCAAGGTCAAGAACTGGGAGACCGACGTGGTCCTCACTGACACCCTTCACCTTAAGAGCACACTGGTGAGTACCCCAGCGGGGCGTGGCCCAGCCTCACAATTAACCACATTTGGCATTGGCTAAGCCTTTGTTGTGGGGACCGCCCCGTGCACTGTAGGACGTTTAGCATCACCCCTGACCTGTACACGTGAGATGTCGGTAGCCCCCCTGAAGTTGTGACCGCACCAAAAATGTCTCGAGATATTACTTACTGTCCCCTGGGTGGGAAGGCCCCTCCCATTTGAGAATCACTGGCAGATACTTACTCACTCATGGAAACACTTTCTTTTTTAATTTTTTTAATGTTTTTATTTATTTTCGAGAAAGAGAGAGAGACAAGGTGCGAGAGAGACAAGGTGTGAGAGACAAGGCGGGGCAGAGAGAGAGGGAGACACAGAATATGAAGCAGGCTCCAGGCTGTGAGCTGTCAGCATGGAGCCTGACGTGGGGCTCGAACTCATGAATCGCAAAATCATGACCTGATCCGAAGTCGGACGCTTAACCGACTGAGCCACCCAGGTGCCCCTATCATATTTTTAACAGTCAGAAAATCACCATATTGCTTTACATTTTTGTTGAAATTGAGCTTCTTAGAAGAACATTGTATTGGTGAGTTATAGCCGTGTAACAAATTTCCCTGACACGCAGTGGCTTGAAACAGCCACCACTCACTTTTCAAAAGTCCACAGACTGCCTCGGTGGTCCTGCTGGTCTCAGTTGATCTCAAGCATCTGCAGTCATCTGAGGGTCAGCTCTGGGTGGGCTGGCTAGGATGGCCTTGGCCATGATCGCTCACCTGTTTCATGTGGTTTCTCTCATCCACCAGCAAGCTAGCGCGGCCTGGTTCCCGTGGTGGTTGTGAGGTTTTCAGAGGAAATGGGCAAAAGCACGCTTGATCTCTTGAGGCCCAGTCATGGGATGGGCACAGTGTCACCTCTGCCATTTTCTATTGGCCAAAACCAGCTCACATTCAAGGGGAGAGGGGAGAGGTTCCGCTTCTCAATGACAGTTGCTGCAAAGTCACATTGCAAAGGGTGTGGATGCAGGGAAGGGAGGCATTGGGACGGCCTTTTTTGCAGTCAATGTGCCATAGACGTGTTCAGCCATAGTAGTTCTTCCTTGATGAACACGGGCTCAGAAAATACTCGAGGATTCGGTAGGAATGAGTCTGATTCCCAGGGAGTGCCAGTCAGAAAGCCCCTCTTCGCCTCGTTGGGTAGAGCAAACACTTTGGGGACCTTCGAATGCTGCCCATCATTCCTTACCATGCCTGATGACCACACCCTACAATGACTTGAAGCTGAATTAAAGGCCAAGTCAACTCCACCACAAAGGTCAGATCCATGGCCCCAGCGCCCCACATGCCTCCAAGTGGTAGCCCAAATCTCTCTTTTCCCTCCAGGAAATGGGCTGCACCGAGCACATCTGTATGGGCTCCATCATGCTCCCCTCTCAGCAGATACGAAGGCCTGAAGACATCCGCACAAAAGAACAGCTCTTCCCTCTCGCCAAAGAGTTCATTGACCAGTACTACTCATCAATTAAAAGGCAAGTGTATGTTGACTCCGGGGACCCAGGGCGAGTTCCTGAGTACCAGGGACAAAGACTTCGGCTCCAACAATGCGGACAGTTGAACCAACAGTAAGGGCTCCGCCCACCATACACACACAGGTTGAAAACTAGCGGCCCAAGGGCCAGATCTGGCCCCCAGAAAAGTCTTTGTCTGGCCTGCAAAGTGTTGCTTCAATTTGAAATATTTCAAGCAACTCCATGCCTAGGTATACGTGCCCGAAAGAAACTCTCACACGTGTTCGCCAGAAGGTATGCGTAAAAATGTGCACCGAAACATTGTTATAATAGGGGAAAAAATTAAAAAGAGAGAGCCAACCAGAAACCACCTCGACTCCCTCAATGGGAGGATGCATGGGTAAGTGATGGTATTTTCTGAGTCAGGGAATATTACACAGCTGTAAAAAGGTGAATGAGTTAGCGCTCGGCACATTTGTGGGAACGAAGCTCACAAACAAACTGTGCAAAAGGAAGAAAGGATAAGTTTGTCCAAGAATGCATTCAGGGTAGCATCATTTATGTAAGCTTTTTAAACATACAGAACAATATTGCATGTGATTTAGGGAATATATACACGTGTGACAAACATATGAAGAAAAGCGTGAGACACTTCCAGGAAGAAAGTGGGTTATGATGGGAAAATAGTCCCCAAGGAATTATAAAATCATTTCTCTTCTATTATTTTTTTAAGTTTTATTTATTTACGTACTCTCTCCACCTACCATGGGGCTCAAACTCACAACCCCGAGATTAAAAGTCATACGCTCCTCTTTGGGGCGCCTGGGTGGCGCAGTCGGTTAAGCGTCCGACTTCAGCCAGGTCACGATCTCGCGGTCCGTGAGTTCGAGCCCCGCATCAGGCTCTGGGCTGATGGCTCAGAGCCTGGAGCCTGTTTCCGATTCTGTGTCTCCCTCTCTCTCTGCCCCTCCCCCGTTCATGCTCTGTCTCTCTCTGTCCCAAAAATAAATAAACGTTGGAAAAAAAAAAAAAAAGTCATACGCTCCTCTGACTGAACCAGCCAGGTGCCCCTCATTTATTATTTCTTGGGCTTGAGTATTCATCATATTGTTTTTGATACCTTTTTGTAAGCCCCAAATTTTTTACAATAATTTTTTCAGCTTTCTAAACTTTGAATTCCTTGTCATCATTTAAAAATTATGGGGCGCCTGTGTGGCGCAGTCGGTTAAGCGTCCGACTTCAGCCAGGTCACGATCTCGCGGTCCGTGAGTTCGAGCCCCGCGTCGGGCTCTGGGCTGATGGCTCAGAGCCTGGAGCCTGTTTCGGATTCTGTGTCTCCCTCTCTCTCTGCCCCTCCCCCGTTCATGCTCTGTCTCTCTCTGTCCCAAAAATAAATAAGCGTTGAAAAAAAATAAAAATTAGGAGAGTCCCCTTTACAAATCAGATTTCCAGGGGTGCCTGGCTGGCTGAGTCAGTGGAGAGAGTGACTCTTAATCTTGGGGTTGTGAGTTCGAGCCCCGTATTGGGTGGAGAGATTACTTTAAAATAAAAATATTTAAAAGTAAATAAATAAAGGGGCACCTGGGTGGCTCAGTCGGTTAAGCGTCTGACTTTGGCTCAGGTCATGATCTCACAGTTTGGGAGTTCAAGCCCCACGTGGGTCTCTGTGCTGACAGCTCAGAGCCTGGAGCCTGCTTCGGATTCTGTGTCTCCCTCTCTCTCTGCCCCTCCCCTGCTCATGCTCTGTCTCTCTCTGTCTCAAAAATAAAAAAAATAGGGGCACCTGGGTGGCGCAGTCGGTTAAGCATCCGACTTCAGCCAGGTCACGATCTCGCCGTCCGTGAGTTCGAGCCCCGCGTCAGGCTCTGGGCTGATGGCTCAGAGCCTGGAGCCTGTTTCCAATTCTGTGTCTCCCTCTCTCTCTGCCCCTCCCCCGTTCATGCTCTGTCTCTCTCTGTCCCAAAAATAAATAAACGTTGAAAAAAAATTAAAAAAAAATTAAAAAATAAACTCTCTCTCTCTCTCTCTCTCTCTCTATATATATATATATATATTAAAAATAAAAATCCGATACCCGGTTTCTCTTGAAAGGAGACCTTTGGTTTTATTTGTTTGTTTTGTTTTGTTTTTTAATCAAATTTTAATCAAATTTGTTTGTTTGTTTGTTTGTTTGTTTAGAATAGAATTTAGTGATTCATCACTTACATATAACACCCAGTGCTCGTCCCATGAAAGGAGGCCTTTGAGCCAGACACGGGCTCGCCTGTTGGCCACAGTCTCCACCCAGCCAGTTTAGTCCCTGCTGGGCCTTTGTGGACATTGGAGTTTGCAGTTTGCTTATGCTTGAACTACTGTCTCCACATATGGACCCAGACTCGCTGCAGCTTCTGGCCTCCCGGAATGGCTCACTCCTTCCACTGACCCGTAACTCGGGAGCAGAGGTGACACCCCCATGTCCCTTCCCTCCTCGCTCAGGTTTGGCTCCAAAGCCCACACGGAGAGGCTGGAAGAGGTGAACAAAGAGATCGAAACCACCGGCACCTACCAGCTCAAAGACACGGAGCTCATCTACGGGGCCAAGCACGCGTGGCGGAACGCCTCCCGCTGCGTGGGCAGGATCCAGTGGTCCAAGCTGCAGGTAGGCGGTGAGGCTCTTCGGTGGGTGGGGAGGGAGGGAGGGATGGAGCTGTACAAAGGGTCTGCTCTCGCCAAGGCCACCTGGAGGGTATGGCGAAGTCCCAGATGGTAGGCGTGGGGTCCCAGATTCTCGGATCGGGACTCAGTCTGCTTCATAGTCGTGTCTCACTTAGCCGACATGCTGGGGATTTTTTTAATGTTCACTTATTTTTATTTTGAGAGAGAGTATGAGTGGGGGAGGGGCAGAGAGAGAGGGAGGGAGCAGGCTCTCTGTCCCAAGCAGGCTCTACACTGTTAGCACATGGAGCCCCCTGCGGGGCTCGATCTCACGAACCGAACCGTGAGATCGTGCCCTGAGCCGAAATCAAGAGTCAGATGCTCAACCGACTGAGCCACCCAGGTGCCCCAACACGGGTTTTTTTTTTTTAAAGCAACTTGTGGGGCGCCTGGGTGGCTCAGTCGGTTGGGCGTCCGACTTCGGCTCAGGTCATGATCTTGCGGTCCGTGAGTTCGAGCCCCGCGTCGGGCTCTGTGCTGACAGCTCAGAGCCTGGAGCCTGTTTCCGATTCTGTGTCTCCCTCTCTCTCTGACCCTCCCCTGTTCATGCTCTGTCTCTCTCTGTCTCAAAAATAAACGTTAAAAAATTAAAAAAAAAAAAAAAAGCAACTTGCTCGTCTCTTGGTAAGGCTTATGCTCTCCAGTTTACCACAGACCCCACCACTCTCTTTTGTATTCCACCTACTCTCTGCGTATTTATATTATCCACCTACTCCCTGACAGCATTAGATTCTGTGTCCCCTGATACGATTTCTGCCCCGCTGGGGAATAGTTTGAAGTCAGACGTAGAATAGTTATCAAGGTCAGCGGGGTTCTGTTTGATTTTTCTTTGTTTTGTTTTGTTTTGAAATCCCTCCTCCCTAGTAACCTAGCAGGAAATACATGCAGCCCACTCAGGTCTCCCCTTTGCTCATCACCCCTTAACCACGTTCATGTACACACCAGGCCTGCCTTCAGGGGATTCTTCCTGGTTTGACTGACCGTGGTTATTAGGATGGGAAAAAGAAACCTTAAAACCCAGCCCTGATCACATGAGGGGAGTGCTCCCTACTCTGGCGGGACAGCAGGTGGCACGGGCTCCGGGTTCTCGTCCCGTGGGCAGGCTGCACGGGGGGAGCCGGGGAGGGAAGGAGGAGGCACCCGTTCTCACCGTGCATCCTTCGCAGGTGTTCGATGCCCGCGACTGCACCACGGCTCACGGGATGTTCAACTACATCTGCAACCACATCAAGTATGCCACCAACAAGGGGAACCTCAGGTGAGCCCGCCAGCCCCGGGGAGGGGGTCTGATGTCCCCAAAGCGTCGACCCTTGGGTGTGGAGTTGGCTCACCGGCCGAGGAAATGCTCTCCCTCTCCTCTTGGGGAGACGTGCCAAGCCTCGAGAGGGGGCCTGGCTTCTTGTCCCACCTGCCGTGTCCTGTCTCTTCCGGGAGACACAGACTCTTGCGTGGCTTGCAGAGCTACAGCAACCCAAATCACGCTCAACCCTCACAGTTCAGTATCACCTGTGGAGGGGGCAGGAAGGGGTGTTTCCCTTTCCAGGACTCGGAAAGTCCCATTGCCAACAGTGACCTGCTTTTACCAGCTCTCCGTCTTTTGCCTGCATTTCAAAGACAGTTTCTCTTCCTGCCGCTGGGGGCACTGTTCCTTCAGGTTCGGCCAAGCCAAGCCACACCTTGGGTTCCTCTTGCCCCGAAGAACAAAGCCCCAGGGAGGAAGCGAAGGCAGGGAGGCACCATGTGAGCTGGTGGCTTCCACACTGGCAAGTTGCAGCTGGAAGGCGACAGCTGGGGCCCCGCAGCCCGACGGTTAGACTTGTTAATCCCGTGCAATCAGTCCTTGTCCCAGCTGCTGAGGACCAGCCCCACGGTGGGGCCACATGGGCCACTGCAGGGATATTCCCACAAGCCCCAGGCTGCACTGCGTCACCCCCATAGTGGCTTGTTTGTATGAAGCTTGGGTTTTCCTGGATGTGTCCCTTCCTTGAGAAGGAAACAGTGTCCCAGCTGAGCCTACCAGTAGGAAAAGGGCCTGTAATATAAGCCCAGAGCCTGCTCGGGGAATTAGTATTTAGATCTTTTCCTGAAAGACCTCACCCCTCAGAGAACATCTTCTTGAGATCTTCTGTTTAAGAAATATTCAGCTGATTCCTTTTTTTTACACTTTTTTTTAAATTTTATTTGAGAGAGAGAGAGAGAGAGAGAGAGAGAGAGAGAGAGAGAGAGAGAATCCCAAGCAGACTCCATTCTCAGCATGGAGCCTGATGGAGGGCTCAATCCAACAACCATGAAACAGTGACCTGAGCTGAAATCAAGAGTCAGACACTCAAGTGACTGAGCGATCCAGGCACCCCATTTTTTTTCACAAGTTTTTAAAAATGTTTTCGGTATTTATTTTTGAGAGCGAGAGAGAGAATGAATCTGCGAGGCGAGGGAGGGGCAGAGAGAGAGGGAGACACGAGAGTCCCCACGCGGGGCTCAAACACACGGACCACAAGATCATGACCTGAGCCAAAGTCAGACGCTTAACCGATGGAGCCACCCCAGGGGCCCCCGCAAGTTTTAAACCACAAATCTGGACGGAAGAGGGTCTTAAGGGAATGTGTACCATCTGTAGAAATTATCAAAACATAACAGAGGGAGGCAGGCAAGGGAGAAGAAGGGAGGGAAAAATAATGTTCAGGAGGCATAAGTGTGTTCTATTTCTTCCGTTGGTCTCCGTTCCCGCACAGAGAGTAAGCATTCCACACGCTGTGTGTGAGTCTGGTATTTCTGAACATGCTTTTTAAATACATATATTACACAAACACCCTGTATTTGGTGCTCAACCAAAGAAACGGCAATGTGTTTTGCTGCTGGAGGGAACACTGACCGTTTGACTCGTTCTGTGTTCATCTCCAATATGGTGCCTTTGCTACAAGATTGTTAAGAGCCCTGTTGGCCCTATACGACGTCTACCTTCAGCCCCCGTTGTAGACTCAGCCCCAGGTACAGCGTCCCATCCCTGCAGCATTAAATGCAATACTGTAATGTGCACACGGCAAGACCTACATGGGCTCAGAAGGAAGGTAGTCCTGGGAACAGACGAGACAGGAGATGCTTTGTGGACGAGGTGAATCTGACTCTGGCCTTGAACTTGGGTACATGACAGCAGAGATGGATTCCAGCCAAGATGGGTAGCAGAGCAAAGTTCCAGGGCCAGGGTGTGTACAGAAGGTCTGCAAGCAATGGGTTGGACCTACCATGTGACCCTCATGTTGACCCGAGCCAGGGTGGTGTCTCCCATAGCCTGGGATTGAGTCCCCTGATGAGACTGTTGAGCCGGGATGGCAGGAACTCCTGGGATGAAATAACATTGAAATCACGTTGTAAAGAAGTCATTCTCCTTTCAGTTGCTTTCAGTCCTTCTGATGATCCCCAAATCCCAGTTTGATGATGAGACATCATTAACACCTAACACTCCCGATCTCCCCCTTAGGGGAGCCAGCTGGGCGCCAACTCGGTGCCTTCCACAAATGACAACTCTTCCTGCAACATAATAACAGTGTATGGTCTCACAGTTGCCAGTTTAGGTAGGTGAGGCCAGTGGCGATCTCCAGTTTTCCTTTAGAGTAAATGAATGTGAGTACAAGGGAAGTTGATTTCTTCTTAGTCCTATGTCTGTAGACTTTGGTATGGTACAGGGAGGGGTGGGGGTGGGCAAGTAGGGGATAAGTAAGGATGGCAGTAAGAGCAAGAGTGGAAGTTGGGGGGCGCCTGGGTGGCTCAGTCGGTTAAGCGTCCAACTTCGGCTCAGGTCATGATCTTGCAGTTCGTGGGTTCGAGCCCCGCGTCGGGCTCTGTGCTGACAGCTCAGAGCCTGGAGCCTGCTTTCGATTCTATGTCTCCCTCTCTCTCTGTTCCTCCCCTACTCTCTCTCTCTCTCTCTCTCTCTCTCTCTCTCTCTCAAAAATAAATAGAGATTTAAAAAAAATTTTTTTAAAAAGAGTGGAATTTGGAATCAGTGGTATTCACTCTTTGTGGGGAAAGAGGGCCCCCCGTTGTTTCCCTGGAGCTTACCAGCTGCCCAAGAACTCCTGGAAAGCTGGCCCAGGTCAAGGGTGTTTCAGAGTCTCCAGTTAGAGCAGCATTCTCCACTCTTAAGCGAGCTAGCGTGGGGCCTCCCATATTCCACCCTTCCTCAGACCAATGGTCCAGTGGAGGGACAGGGCACGGTCCCTCCCTTGCAACAGCGGCTCCGTGGGCCCTTGGGGACCTTGGCACAGAGGTGATCCACCCTGAGCCTCTGTTGGTGGCCTGGATGGCGCCCTTTGCAGTACGCCCACAAGGTGCCGGCCCTGCCCCGATACCACATCTCCCTCTCTCCACCACAGATCCGCCATCACCATATTCCCCCAGAGGACGGACGGCAAGCACGATTTCCGAGTCTGGAACTCTCAGCTCATCCGCTATGCCGGCTACAAGCAGCCTGATGGCTCCATCCTGGGGGACCCAGCCAATGTGGAATTCACAGAGGTGTGTGCCTCCCACCCCGCCCAGTCCCCCAAACTGCCTTCAATAGGCTTTTCTTCGTTTCCTGTTATCATCATAGGGAAAGCAGCCAGTGGGGTACCGTTTACTCCTCTGCAGACCTCCTGCTCCTTTGGGCGGCCCCCAGTCCAGCTGGATCCCTTACAGCTGGTCATTTGGGCGTTTCCCTCCATTACCTCACCCGACCCTCATGATAGGAGCTGTTGTCACCACCACCTCCCCATTCGGTGGCGACGCAGACGGGTAGCACAGGTTAGCCACGGTAGCTTCCGGCGTCTGTGCCCAAGGGAGACGCCACGGGCAGACCCCTGCCTAGAATGATCTCAGGCACACAGCCCGGCACCCCTTTTCCTGATCGCTGGCTCATCCCTGGCCGAGGTTCTTCTCTGTTCTTTCCTCAAATGCCACCCCAGGACCTTCTTCGGGACTGAGCTGGCCAGACCAAGCCCCGCTCCACTCCCTGGCTGGCGACTTCATTTGCATGCGGCTTTTCTTATTAAAATGTTATTACCGAGAAGAAGGGGCTGTAACCAGGGCGACCAGGAGTTGCACCTGTGCGGGTTTAGACTCAGCCAGACTCGAGGCTCCACTTGGCTGAGCGCTAACTGCATAGTTGGCTGACCTTGTCTTCATGGCCACCAGAACATAAATGCCACAGCCCCTTCCTTCCCTTCTGTCTCCAGAAACCTCGCTGACTGCACATGTTTGCCTAAGCCCCTGATTTCGAGCTTCCTCTTTCTACTAACACAGCAGAAAGAATCACCCCAAACATAACCGCATGACCGTATCTTTCGAAACCCTCTCACTCTGCCCTGGCCAGTGTGGCAGCCGCTGGCCACATGTGGCTAGTGAGCCCTGGAAGTGTGGTGAGTCCAAATGGAGGTGCGTCCTAAGTGCAAACCACACACCGGGTCTCAAAGACTGAGAACAAAACAGAGAGTAGGAACCACCTCATTAATAATTTTTATCTCAGTTACCTATTGAAATAATATTATAGATAACGGTAGGCTAATCTATTATAGTTATTAATAGTTAATACACCTATTGAGTTAATAAATATATTAAACTTTATGTTAATGTTAAATATCTTTATTATGGTAATATTAATAACATATTTAATCATTTATCATTAACAAATTAATGATGATGAATACACTTAATTGTATGTTACACAGTATATATTTGACACATTTGTTGGATAAGTATATTTCATATTTAACTTTAATGTCAAATATATTCATATATGGATAGCAATACTTTAATTCAATACTAATAAGTTGATATTATTAATCTAATATAATTATGATGATTAGTAACTAATAATCAAATAGTGTTGAAACTTTGAAATTGTTGAAATATTATTAAGATGAATATACTATTTAAATTATTTCACCTGATTTCTGTTTGGACTTTTGTTTACTTTTTCTAATGTGGCTACTAGAAGAATGTGTTAATTCCCTATGTGGCTTGCTTTATATTTTGATTGGACAGCTGCTCTAACAGATGCATTTATGCACAAATTCTGATCATTCTGCCCTCCTCAAATATGATAGGCTTTCTTTGCCTCTCAGGGTGCTCAATGCAAACAGTTCCAGAGCGAGTTTCCGTAGGACATGCCAGACCCTGTGCTCGAGGGCGTTACAGACTCAACAATCAGATTCAGCTCTTATCCTCCGGGAGTCCCCGGGCCACAAGAAAAACTCAGAAAACATAACAAAGCACAGTGCAGGAGGACAGATTTGCCTTCTGTCCTGTGGACCGGGAGACATCACACAGACATGTGATGTCAGAACTTTGTAGAGGAGATGGCGTGGCCCAGAGCCTCCAGAGAAAGGTGCTGTCGGCAGGCTTGCGTTGGGATCTCTGCCCCTCCCCCCATTGCCATAGCACCTGGAGGGGCTGGGGACGGGTCGGCGGTGGCCGTGGTGTGACGTGGCCATTTCCGGTTGCAGATCTGTGTGCAGCAGGGCTGGAAACCCCCAAGAGGCCGCTTCGATATCCTGCCACTCCTGCTCCAGGCCAACGGCAACGATCCTGAGCTCTTCCAGATCCCCCCAGAGCTGGTGTTGGAAGTGCCCATCAGGCACCCCAGGTAAGAGGGACTGGCATGGGGTGGGTGAGGGTGGGAGGATTCACCCAGTGCCTCCCCCTGGCCCCCTAACCCCCTGACTCTCCCTCCAGCCCAGACAGAGGCTGAAAGGGGGCCTTGGTTCCTTCCTGGGCCTGGGCAGAGCGGGCCTCCCCAGGAATGAGCAAATCCTCCTAGACCAGCCGGGGGGCCACCATCTCTTCTGAATCAGAATCTTGCTCCTCCCCCTGCTCCTAAGCAATCAACCAGAACTTGCCCTTTTTCCAGCCCTATGGGTAGAAAAGCAGAAACACCTCTTGTCTTGTTGTGAGCACTAGAACTGTGTGACCTGATGTGGGTCAAGTCCAAAAGGAATTTGGAGCCAGGAAGGAACTACAAGGGCTGCGCCAGGCGCACCAGCAAAACTCACACTTTGAGGGGCCCCTGGGTGGCTCAGTCAGTTAAGCGTCTGACATCGGCTCAGGTCATGATCTCACGGTTCGTGGGTTCGAGCCCCGCGTCGGGCTCTGTGCTGACAGCTCGGAGCCTGGAGCCTGCTTCGGATTCTGTGTCTCCCTCTCTCTCTGCCCCTCCCCCACTCATGCTCTGTTTCTGTCTCTCAAAAATGAATAAATGTTAAAAAAAAAATTAAAAACAAAACATGCTTTGAGAGTGAAGGAGATCCTTAGTGAGACACTGTCCTTGGAGGCAAAATCGAGGGGCAGGGTAAGGGAGGGGTGCCCCAAAGCTCAATAATCAAGATAAATATTATTTTAATGTAATATACATATCAAAATTAATCTCTATATCAAAAATTGGATCCAAATTTACATTTTTTTATCTGAAAATGTCAAAGAAAGGATCCAGTTCAGGGCTGAGATTCAGGTGAAGCAAGCAAGGTAAGTTATGCATGTGCAAGGTGAGACCCGTCTTTATTTAAATTTGGGATAGTTTGTTCGCTATGGATTTTTTTTAACGTTTATTTATTTTTGAGGGAGAGAAAGACAGTGTGTGAGCAGGGGAGGGGCAGAGAGAGAGGGAGGCACAGAATCCGAAGCAGGCTCCAGGCTCCGAGCCGTCAGCACAGAGCCCGACACGGGGCTCGAACTCACGAGCCATGAGATCATGACCTGAGCCGAAGTCAGACGCCCATCCAACTGAGCCACCCAGGCATCCCTCATGATGGATTTTTTTCCATATAATTTTGATTTTTTGAAAAACGTTGAGTTAATTTAGAATATAATGTGAATAAAAAGTAGCATTAGACTCAATTCCTCGTTTTGTTGGTGCACCCTTAAATTTTGCATCCAGGGCTAGTGCCTTATTTATTTCACCCTAGCCCCAGCCCTGGAGAGGAACCAAGTGTCCTGAGGCTCATGACACTGCCCAATATCTGGGAACTCACCCAGTCTCCCTGGTGAAGCCTGGCCTACATTCATTAATGCATTCACTTACTCATTCGCTCATTCAACACGGTTTATTATTCCTGCTCTGGGCCGGCCATTGTAGCTGACTGCGTTTCTGCCTCCATGACACTTTTGATCTCAAGGAGAAGAATTTGCACATACTGTTACCCGGATAACCTCTTAATTCCAATAAAGTGCTGAAAAGAAATTTTATGATGCCCAGAGGGACAAAGTTGCCCGACCCAATCTAAACTGGGCATCAGAGAAGGGCTTCCAAGAGTAAGCAACATTTTAGCTGACAATTTAAGTCTGGGTAAGGGCTGGACAGACACAGAAGGAAGAGAGAGGAGCCCAGAAGAATGGACTGCCATGCAAAGGCCCTGAGGTAGGAAGGAATTCGGCAAGACTCCCTTTTCTCCTGGATTAACTTTCAGGGTGGGTTTGGGAGAGAAACAGCAGCCTGGCGCACTGGTTCCCAGGCCCGGATGTTCACCCAAATCACCTGGGAAACATGTTTAAAATGCATATTATCAGACCCAGCCGTGGAGACTGGGATCCCACAGGTCTAAAGCAGAGCCCAGGAGTCCGGTTCTGACACAGCAAGTCCCGGGAGGTTGCTGGCATTTCCGCATCCCCAGACCAAGGCTGTCCTGCCCACATGTCCGCCTGAGAGACTCCTGCCCCATGGTGAGCGGGGCTGTGTCGCTCTCCACAGGTTTGAGTGGTTCAAGGATCTGGGCCTGAAGTGGTATGGCCTCCCCGCTGTGTCCAACATGCTGCTGGAGATTGGCGGCCTGGAGTTCACCGCCTGTCCCTTCAGCGGCTGGTACATGGGCACAGAGATTGGCGTCCGCGACTATTGTGACAACTCTCGATACAACATCCTGGAGGTGAGGTCCCTCCCCCGCCGTCGCGATGGGCCAGCAGAGGGCAGAGGGCGTGGGCCCCACAGTCCTTCCCCACAGCTGAGCTTTGGGGCTTGGAAACGTGGAAACTTCCGCAACCTCGGTGGAGCCCCTGGCAATTCCAGGGCATCCACAGTGTGAACAGCGCATGTCCTGCGGGCTAAACACTGTTCCAGGCACCTTGTGTGTGTGTGCTCAGTTAACCTCAGCACAACCTCCAGGTATGATAACCCCCATTTCGCAGATGAGGATGCTGAGGCCTTTGGGAGGGTTAAAGTGACAAGCTCAAAGTCACACGGTGGCAGAGCTGGGAAATGAACCCCGTCGGGCTTTAAGGTCCAAGTTCATAACCACCCGGCTACACGGCCTCTTGTTAGAAGGGTTTGAAAACGACCCAGACCCACGAACCTGGGACATTTCTTGCCTCTTTTCTGAAACACAAGGGAAGGGGGTTGGCAGTGGTTGCCCAGCATCCGCATTTCTGGCTGGAGGATCTGATTCCCTCCTGGCTGAATCATCCTCATCTGCTGAAGGCTGCTGGGGTGGAGTCCGGAGCTCAGATCTGGAGAATGCATTGGGATAGCTGTGGTCTTGCCAGCAGCCGTTGTCCCTAACAACTGTCTGCTGTGGTAGGTCTTGTTTCGAAAGGAGGCACTGAGAAACAGAGAGGTTAAGCACTGGGCCTATGTCACACAGTAAATAAGGCAAGATTAGAACTCAGAATCAAGGGGCGCCTGGGTGGCTCGGTCGGTTGGGCATCTGACTTCGGCTCAGGTCATGATCTCATGGTTCGTGAATTCGAACCCTGTGTCGGGCTCAGAGCCTGGAGCCTGTTTCGGATTCTGTGTCTCCCTCTGTCTGCCCCTCCCCCACTCACGCTGTGTCTCTCAAAAATGAATACACGTTAAAACGTTTTTTTTAAAAGAACTCGGAATCAAGCCTTAATTAGGTTTATGTGGTTAAAATCCACGGGCGTTCATGTGGATGGACCTTGAAGACATTACGCTAAAGTGGGTTAAGTCAGACAGAGACAAATACTATATGATACATACCGCTCATATGTGGAATCTAAAAAAGCCAGACTCATAAAAAAAAAGAGAATTGAACGCTGGTCACCGGGAGCTGGTGGGGCGGGGGGGGAGTTAGGGAGGAGGTGTTTAAGAGTACAAACTTGCAGCGTAAAGATAAGTAAATTCTGGAAATCTAAGGCACAGAAGGGTAATTATAATCCACAATCCACTGAATTGCACACTTCAAAGTTGCTAAGAGACTAGATCTTGATTGTTCCCACCACAGAAAAAGAAATAATAATTATGTGACATGACAGAGGTGTTAGCTCGCAGTGGTAATCATATTGCAACACATAAATGTATCAAACCAACACCTCGAATTTGTACCCCTTAAACTCACACAACGTTGTGTGCCAACTGTGTCTCAACGTTTTTTAAAAATTCCATAGGTATTAGCTTGGAAATCGAAGCCCGGGGTCCTCAGCCTTGCCACACACCGGAGTCACCTAGGGAACTTCATTATTGCCACATTCCCACTCACCGGGATTCAGATATCGGTGCTCAAGGATGGGGCCTCGATACCAGCATTTTTCAGAGCTCCCCAGAAGATTCTAGAGGGCAGCCACCGATCTGTACAAACTTCTGGCAGGAAAGGAAGAGACATTTCAGGCAATTTCCATAGATGTGCCTCAAGTCATATTTGGGGATTTTTAAAAATCACATAATCTTTTTTTTTTTTTTCCTGCAAATGCGTTCCATTCTTTTAAGCAAAAGAATGCTGTAGGAGTAACAGTCTCAGCATAATGGCTACACATGCTTTCCTCTCTCACAAAATTACTCGAGTTTTTTATGTATTTATGTAAAGCAGCGAATTTCGTTCTTTCCGTGTGTGTGTGTGTGTGTGTGTGTGTGTGTGTGTGTGTGTCACTATCCAAGGACCACAGAGGAACCCAACGCCTCGGCCTCAAAGAATGAATTAATATGAGATCTGCTTTCATGATTCCTGCTTATGTTTTGATTGCAGAGAGTTGTTCCCGAGTAACTCAGATGAGATCCTCTCCCACTCCAGCCCTCCAGGCCCGACGGCTGTTATGTACGAATGTTGAGAGCAGGGCTGGGAAGCAGTTTACCCAGACCTGAGAAACTGTCGTGTGCTAGCCCCGTAATGAGACCTGGGCTCCCACAAGTGACTGGAATTGACAGAGCAAGGAACAGCAAGGCTCTAATTAATGAATTTGCTGTTGGGTGTTTCCCACTCCTGACATCAGCTCCTGAGTCATAACATAAATGTCAGGAGGTTTTTGTTTTGTTTTTTTCCGATAGTTTTGCCAAAGGAGTCGGCCGGCTATGGCGGCAGCTCTCGGGTCCTTGGATGTTATGCGTCTGCCTGGGCTCCGGCTCTGAGGCCAGCTGGCTCTCTGGACCTCTCTGAGCCTCAGTTTCCTCATTTGTTAGATGGAGTCAGACAGGTGTCCGCCTGAGGTCAAAGCGGATCCATGATCTGGATCCCAAGTGTGGCTACCCCAGGCGTGGAGCAGGATCAGTGGAAAGCTTTTCCGTCTAGAAGGCAGATGATGTCACTCTCAGACCCACTCTTCTGCTTAAAACCCTCCAAAGACTCCTTCCACGCTACAGTATTGGGAATAAAATCTTGACTCCTGGGCTCATCCCAGATTCTGCATGATCCAGTCCTGCCTTTATCTCCCACCAACTCCCCTGGCTCACTACCCACCCCTCAATACACCAGCCTTCTTTCTGTATCTCAGATGGTGGAAGCCTGATCCCACCACAGGGTCTTTGCACATACTGTCCTCTCTGTCTACAACCTTCCTCCGTAGATCTGAAGATGTCTTGCTTCTCATTATTTTGGTCCCACCTGGTATGCCACCTCCACAGTCGGTCCTCCCTGACCGTCCTGGCTAAATCCGGCCCCCGTATTCCTCTTCATCTCATATCCTTGTCTTATTTCCTCCCTAAATAGTAAATGTCTCTCTCCCCCACTAGAAAGTAAACTCAGAGGGGTGGCTGGGTGGCTCAGTCAAGCGTCCCACTTCGGCTCAGGTCACGATTTCGCGGTTCATGAGTTCGAGTCCCACGTTGGGCTCTGTGCTGCCAGCTCGGAGCCTGGAGCCTGCTTTGGATGCTGTGTCTCCCCCTCTCTCTCTGCCCCTCCTCCACTTACATTCTGTCTGTCTCTCTCTCTCAAAAATAAACATTAAAAAAGTTCAAATAAAATAAAATAATAAATACATAAAAAAGAAAGAAAGGAAACTCAGAAATAAAAGGGCCGTCCACGTCTCTCTAGTTTCCTGCTACCAGTCGGTTCTCCATTAAAAAAAAAAAAAAAAAAAATCTTATGAATGAGTTCATCAGTCCGGCAATGAGTTGACTAATTCGTTAAGAAATTCATCAGTGACCACCAGCTAGCCCTGTCTCTCCACGGGTGCCCCGGCCTGTGAGTCTGTGTTTCCTTCCTCTTCCAGGAAGTGGCCAAGAACATGAACTTGGACATGAGGAAGACGTCCTCCCTGTGGAAGGACCAAGCACTGGTGGAAATCAACATTGCTGTTCTCTACAGCTTCCAGGTAGCACAGCACACACGTCCCGGAGGGGAACTAAAACGCCTCCAAGGTGTAGAGCAAACAGTCGTGAGACCTGGCTCCTGGTGGGGGGGG